CTGACCGACAGGGATAAATGGAATCATAGGAGCACCAGTCAGTTCATGATAACAATTATGAGACGATGGAAGAGCCAATTGCTACACACAAATCTGCAGGTATTTGTACGAAGGTTCGTGTCACGGACTTTGAAGAGCTCTTGTGCACTGCTTCACTAAATGCTGTGGCATGAACCTGGACAGAAGAACAATGTGATAAGTTTCCACTATCTGACTGCCGCAGTTGTCACTTCTTTTAATTCTCCTAAAACTGCACAGAATTTTCAAATGGAATTTCACTCACACCCTCAGTGGCCGTCCGAGCCTTTCTGTTGACTTGTAAAAAACCGAGTGCAGCGGCTAACGCGTCGTGAGCCTCATAACGAGTTTTACACGCGTAAAAGGCAACAATTAGAGGCTCGCGCAGGCACGCATGCCACAAGCCAAGGTGCCCCTGTTTCGAGCTAAAGAAATAACAACGTAACCTATTTAGGGACAAGTGTCCAGTTCTACTTCTTTACCGAGCAATAAACAACCAGACTCAATGACGCTGCCTAGTCCTATTATAAGCGACTGCCAACGAGGTTGGTGCAACCAGTATCAGGTTCACAAGACGCTGCGGACTGACTAGTTCCCCAACTTAATTGCTCGTTCTATTTCTTTTCACATGCCTCTAGATGTGGGCCAGAAGACTGAAACACTCGAACCATCTGCTCGGTTGTACGACCAGTTTTTACTTTCAATGTGGCATTCTAACCATTGGAAAAATTTGTTGGCGCGACCTCTCAAAAAATGTAAGCTTGACAATTACAAGAGTTTGGATGGCATCGTCATCATCCTTATCCCCACCTCCATCAGTGTCACCGAGATTTCCCCCGCATCTAGCAGACACCCCTGGTCGTAGCAAACTCCAAAGACGACCATAATTGTTAAATAAAAATATAAGGTCGACACTGTCCGAGGTCACTTGGGAGATACTGCAGGCGATATCTACAGATTGAAACTTCAGATCCAAAGGAAAAACCTGTATTTTGAGTGAAAATTAGCA